AAACCGTGGCAGACGCTATGCCAACTAAGCCACGCAACGAACCAGCGGACCTCACGAATCTTTGTATGTGCTTGTTGTTGAATCTTTGCGTTTGGTTTTCAACGACTTTCAACTTTTTTAGCCGTAGCGCCATCTATGAGAAATCTATGAAAGTATTTCGTCACCCAGTTAAATACCTTTACAGCTACTAGCCCTGGCTAGAAATGTCGCTATTAACTTTCAATTAAAATTTTATTGAATTGATATTCAATTATTTTTTGTGAATTTACACGATTTAATTTCGCCTTCTCCTTTCCAGCATCGGGGGGCTGGGTGAAGGCTTGGATTCCACCCCTATGTTGTGGATATTCCAAAGATTTGAACGAAGCGTTACGTATCTACATTCGGAATTCCCTGCCCGCAGATTTGTTCCCTGAACGTTATAATTTGGACCATTTCAAGGCGAGAGTGAATAGGCATTATTTAGGTGTGTGTGCTCCATCGTCGACCTCATCGTCACTTTCCATATCTTATATGAATAAAAAAAAATTGAAAAAAAGAAAGAATTCGTGGTAGAGGAACATTGCGAAGTAGACCGGCATTGCCTCTGTTCAACAGCTGTTCCGGTTGGCTGCTGATAGAGACAAATGCAGGAATCTGACGGTTGGCCGTGCCTTCAGGATTGAAGACACACTTTAGCGTTTCAGAATATGTTTTCAGGTCAAAATGTATTATAATTAATATAATATTTAGTACACAAATATACAAATATATCAACATTTACTTAGTTTTAAAAATAAGTTTCTTTCTCTAGTTTTGAGGTCATATATAATAATAATAATAATAATAATAATAATAATAATAATAATAATAATAATAATAATAATAATAATAATTTATTGATCAAAGAAAAAATGAAATACAATGGCATTACAAGGCACAACATAAAAAGAAACATAAAAATATAGTAAAGAAATGCCAATATTTGTGATTCCCTAACTCCTAAACTAGGTAATCCTGTATCTTAGGAGGAGGAGATAAAACGATCAAAGTTAATTTATACACTTTTTGTGTAACTCAGAACAAATTAAAATATGCATTGGTTAGAATAAAATAGAAAACATTTATTTTACATAATACACACATTACATTTACTAAAAACAATATATAACAGTTTGCGATTACAAAATTACATACAAAGCAAAATTTAAAGACAGCATGGTTATCGCAAATTATATAACAACTAACGAGAATGAAAGAAAAGAAGAAAAAACTGAATAATAATAATAATTCAAAAATGAAACAAGAAAACTTAAATAAACAATTAATGTAACAAATAATAGAATACGTCATCAACTCAGCCTATTGTCACACTGAAGGTGCTACGTTGCTACTTTTCAGCGGATCCGGTAATAGAAATACGCACGTCACGGAACACGGCAGATGTAGAACTAGATTAAATTAAGAAAACTAAATTATTTTAAAAATGTGTACACATACCTTATTTAATGATTATTTTTAAGTAACTAGGTTAATAAATCTCATTTAAATATTCAAAAATTTGATTATAACTAAGTAAACAACAAAATGCAAAAATATATACTCGACACATCACCAGCTACATAGATTTTTGAATTTTAAAAAAACGCTCTTTGAATAACTTTTTAAGCACTTTTTAAGGCATCTCGCCTTGTATATAGGCGAGATGCTTGTCTAATATGCATGGGTGAAAAATATAATTTGTCATGTAGATGCGATGTTTGCTTGCTCCTTATTTTTCCAAATAATAAAGAAGTAAAATACAATTCTCGACGGACTTCCATTTTCGGCATAGTCGCATTGTTCAAAAACGGTGTGACATATGCCCGACGTGAAACGAGAAAACAAAAACTTAAATTAGCGCATTGACTTACAAATAAATGGACGACGGGTCTATACAAAAACCACGAAAAAAATGCCCCAAGTCAACCTATTGAATGAATGAATTTAAATTGTAATGTCATCGCAGTACTGTCTAATTTTGCTTGCTTAGCTGTCAGTCGAACAAACGAAGACTAAAGCGTGAATGACGCTCTGTATACGATTTTAACGCCCTATAAGTTTATAAGTTTTAAACGGACACTTTTTAGCGCGGACCCGACGTCCATATAATTGTAAGTCAATGCATTAGTGGCACGCTTTGAATGCCGTTTTGACAGATTACAATAGTGAGGTCAAATCTCAATTCATTATCGAAAGAAATATAATCAAATGCGAGTCACATATATAAGTTTTCACATTTATGACTAGTATTGCAAGGGGTAGATGATTAAAAAGTTTTAATAAAACGAAAATAAAAATGTTTACTTAATATATTTTTTCATTTCTCATGCTCTTAAAAATCGTATTTATGCTGGGTGCAGGCTGTATTAAATAGGATTTTATGCTCTAGTGCATAAAATAAAATCGTAGTTTAAGACCGAGGCAATGACGCCTGTGCCAACAGCCACGCACACTAGAACTTTATAAAATAAAGTTTTTTTTTAATCCGTGTTATATTACAAAATCAAGGACGCATCTCAAGTTTATAATAAAATACAAGGTAATACACTGAATATGCCAGGGAAAACCATCACATTAGATATGTCTAATTGTTGTAATTTTACACTCAATTTTAATTAAATAATCGTTTATTTGTAATATTACTGTTTAATTTCCTCGCAATCGAAGTGAAAAGCAGAGTGTATAAAACTCATTTTACCGTCGGCTTAAGTATCCACCTCTGGATATACCTGTCTCTGGTAAAATGACGCGTTTTATATGACTTACAAATAAATGGACGACGGGTCTAATACAAAAACCACGAAAAAAATGTCCCAAGTCAACCTATTTAAAGCTAAAACGTTGAATTTAAATTGTAATGTCATCGCAGTACTGTCTAATTTTGCTTGCTTCGCTGTCAGTCGAACAAACGAAGACTAAAGCGTGAATGACGCTCTGTATACGATTTTAACGCCCTATAAGTTCGGACACTTTTTAGCGCGGACCCGACGTCCATATAATTGTAAGTCAATGCGTTTTATGCACTTGTTGCACAATCTGCTATTTTTAGTTTGCCGGAGGTAGAAGTTGTGCTGGTCAGCGATCCCATAAGTGGCGATTGTATTAGATTGAATTTTTAAAAGTTCCGAATTTCGAACAACAAATTTTACTTCACGTCACATTACGGTATTGACAACAAGGTACAGTAATTAGCTCCTACAACGTAGTTATGAATTAATACGAGATTTGATGAGCGGACCAACGTCAAAACGGCCGTCATAGAGTGTCGTTACTATAGTGCATGCATTTTCTGGATAAGATTTTTCGTGCGAACCAGCAAGCAGCCTCCAAAAACCAGTGTCTGAGTAATTTAGTTTGGAGAGGATTAAAGAGTCGCAAAACTTTATGCACTATATATATATATAAAATTATATATAATATGTATTCTGTACATACATACATACAAATACATTATAAATTCATTATAATAATATAATGAACATAATGTCTCTTACAATGGGGGACTGTTTCATTCGGTGGTGTGGGAAAAACGGCAAAACATCTAATTACATAATCTCAGTACAGAGTACTAAAAGAACCAACCTCAAAAGTACGTGGAATTACATCTATTTGCCAAGATTTATAGAAAAAAAAAAAAAAAAATCATTTATTTCAGACAATATACAGTCCAGTTTGTCAGTACAAAGGATTGATCTTATTCTATTGTTAGTACAAAAATTACAAAATAAAATAAAATAAAAATAAAATAAAAATGCCCGGTCAGTCTATCCAACATACCCGCCAAGATCACCGCGCTCCCTGGACATGCAGCTCGGTGAACCTAGCGAGCAGATTAGAATCCAACCTCTCACCTATCGCCTTGAGAACTATGTTTGAGCTCTCTCTCACTCTGCGTAAACAGGAT